TGACATGAAATAGAAAGATCTTATTGAACCACTTGCTAGGTCTGCTGCTAAGAAAGTTGGTTCATTGTGTTGTGCTAGACATTTTTTCTTGCCAGAATCTATCTTACAGATTTATAAGTCTACCATGTTTTTTTATTATTATTATTATTAACAAAATCAATGTTTTGATCCTTTTTGTGTTTTTTAAATATTCCTCCTGATAACCCACCTCCCCTTAAATAAATCTGCGTGCGTGCGCGCATCTATACATAGCTGGAAGAGAGAGGGAGAAAGAGATGAATGTATATGAATGAAAGTGCACAATGTATAAAGGTTCGAATGGGAGACGTGTGTTTCTTTACACTATGAAAGCATAACGCATGTGTGTGTAGAAGAGAAAAAGATTGAAATCGAAATTTCTAATTTTAAAGAGAGAACCTGAATCTGGTTCGACTTATGGCTAACAATTCTTCAGGTTAATTTGTGGTATTTTTTTTTTCAAAGGCATGATCTCAGGTTTCCCCTTGTCCTAGTTTCTCAACCTGACTGATTACTAGATAACAATGAGCATTAAGTTTCTCTTAATCCAATTCATTCATAAAACTAGATCACCAACAATAATTGAAAGAGCGACAGGCAATGTGCGTGTATACGGGTACACCAAAGTAATATCATGTATTGGCGTATGCATGTGTAAGAGAGACAGAGAAAACATTTGTAGAAGAGAATGCATAAATGTATTCTTATGTATGACTCATCAGTGTGAGCGAGAGAAAGACAATGTGTGTATCCATGGATGCTTGAATCTTTCTCTGTATTTGTGCAATAAGCACATGTTTTGCACTTAATGCATTTTTACCTCTGCGAGTACATATGTACTTATGTATAACTCTCACGAGTACAAGACAAACACTTGTATAATAAAATAAGTTAGAAAAAAAAATGAGACAAAACAAAAAGAAGCTAATATTTTTATGCAAGTTCTTAAAAAAAAAATAGAGAAATTAAGCGCGCCACCAAAATAAGTGTACGATACAAAGGAATATATTTTAGCAGCCTGACCAGAAAGGGAAAAAAAGATAGAAAAAAGGAAAAATGTCGGAGCTCCAAATGAAACGAAGTTACAAATATTTTAAATCGTAAAATAGGAAAAATCCGCTCAAAGCGGAAGATAGTGTTACCGTTGTTTCAAAATGATCAAAGACTGCATGCAAGCTTTTCGGGGCATGTTTGCCGCTCTAAGAACAAGAGTTCACCCTGGAGAACAATCACTTCAAAGAGGACAAATAAGATACACTAAAAGTTTTTAATATTTTTAATATAAAAAAGAACTGTAATGTCTTTGGAAAATCCTACTGATCCAAATTTGTTACATTGTTATAAATATTTCCATAGTTTCAGTAATAAATAAGAAAAAACGTCACATACTTTTTTTAAAAAACAGATTTATTGGTGCTACAAAGGCTAAACATGCCCAATAAAATAAACTGAAATAGTTTCAACACAATTTATAGTAAATTTTGTATGAGGATAGCCTTTTGCATCTGAAAAAAGTATATTGCATTTATAGCGACAGTAAATAATCGGCTGTATGCTAAACTGTATTTCCACAGTACACAGATACGTTGACTGATCACTCGATAACTACTTAGTGAGCAACAGTAAAGTCGGTTGTCATTTTTACCGTGACTTCTCTGATAAATACACATCATTTAAAACTTCTGTAATGTTCTGGAAGTCATAGAAAACAAACACATGAGCTACTAATTAATTTTTGTGTCAATGCGACAGAAAAAAATCTTTATGATAGGTTCAACTCTTGACAGAACCAGCTTTTTCAATTTATTTGAAGGCAAGAAAAAAAAATTATTTACGAAATTGTTTGCCGCTTTTAACCGTAAAACATGACGTTTTTAAAGTCGTCTTGTTTACTTTTCCCAAAAGTTTCTGAAATGGTAAGTATATAAAACGGGAAGAAAAAAATGACAGACAAGAAAAACTGCCGATTCAGAACATAGAAATTAAATATTTTATACAACTTAATCCACAGCAACTTGAATTCCTCGCACATCGCAAACATAGAATATTCATCCACATTAACTCGGACATTCAAACTTTCATATAGATAGGCTTAAAAATGATACTGATCAGTCACAATTATTTGGCAAAGGCATGGACAAGTACATTTTCTGACCCCTTACGATCAAAATTCTCAATAAAAATAATATTAAGTAAATTATGAAGGACTTGATGAATATTTTTATCAGACAAAAATCAACTGTGTTTGGATAAAGGAACAAGTTTTTTTTACCTAAGCTGAAACATACAGGAAAATAAAATTTGATTGAAGAAGTAACGATTGGATAAACCAAATGCAGTATAAGTATTCTAACAGATTAATTCATTAGCTATCGATAGTTAGGGTGAATTAGCAAAAATATCAAATGAATGATTCACTATATATTTCTCCTTTTTCTTTCTCATGTAATGACCGAGTTCATTATTCTGTCTACTACAATCAAAGAGAAACATGTCTCTGTTTAAGCCTGTATAGACTTTTTAACCAATAAACTCATCGAGCTAACTTAGTTTGTAAACTATCATGTATATGTATATCATAGATGTATACCATGTGTTATCTATCTATCTACTTATTTTTTATTATCTAGTATTTTTCAGGTTCTCTTCCTTTCCGACTTTTTAATCCACCTATAAACTTGACATGCATTCATCTCATACTTCTCTAACCAATACATCGATCTAATATTGCACCTGCCCTACAGTATAGTCTGACTATTTACGTATCGGGGGGGGGCTTCCTGCACAAGTCTTAAAGGTATCAACAACCCTGTATTTATACTGTAAGATAACAAAAATACAATAAAAATTGATACGATAAGCAAGCAAGCAACACAAACTATTTAAAAATGATTAAGAGAGAGAGAAAGAAAGCGAGAATACCATACGTGTGTACATGTGCATCGAGTCGAGCAATAGTGAACATATGTAAGAAGCAGTAGTAGACTATTGTTGTGGGCATTCCCAGTCGCAGGCTAACAGTGGGGTTCCCCGTACGTGACTCACTCACTCATTCACTCACTCACTTTTACCTAACACATTAAAATACATTCACTGACCTTTGGGACAAATAAACTCATTTGCACATATACAACACACAAAACAGTTCAAAGTTAAAGACGCATGTGTAGAGTTAAACACTTTTGCGATCACGCTGAATGGTGATATGAATTTTTAAAACTGGAAATATACACAAACTTCTGAAGAAGAAACAACAAATCTGGGGTCTTTGTTGTATAAATACACAAAACAGGTATAACCTGTACGTGTGTGCTCACATGTAAAGTGGGTAGAATAAAAGTAGTAATAGTAGTAGTGGGGGGTTAGTATAGCTTACACACCTGCATGTCTTACCCCTGACTACAATTTAACATTCTCTCATTCTCTCTGCATTCAATGTAATGACCGATGATTCCTATAAGTTCCCCTGTCTGTTATTCTCTTTTATTTCATTCTATGCTTGTAAACAGCCTTTTTTTTTTTCATCGTTGTTTAGGCCATGTTTATGTGATAAGTGTTCGATGCTTCCTCGCCCTGACAGACACCTACAAACCAGCAAATGCGAAATTATAAGCTTCGCAGACAGTACTACCACTACCGCGCCTGGTAACTTGTTAGATTACTACTGCTACCTCCAGTACCACGAACCCTCTTGAAGATGTTCTGTTGAAAAGAGAGAAAGAGAAAGAAAAAAGTGACATCGTCCTCTTGGAATTCAACTAATATCTTCTTTTATGTCTTTTGTATTGCCCTCTTAAATCCATTTGTATCAGTTGTCTGTCTTCCTCTTATTTTCTTGCCTCGTAACTCCTCTTGCTCGCTATGACGTCTTTACTTTTTCATAATCTGACGCTCCCAATGTTTTGCTTTCTTTCTTGTTGTCAGATGTTTCTGATTCCTAAACATTATGCACACCCTCTCTGAGTTAATGTGACTCGATGCAACATTTTATTAAAAGAACGAAAAAATCAGCATAATCTTACTTTAACATTGTCGTATAGCGGACGTACAGTTACAGCCCATTCACTATTAAAATAATAAGTAAGCACTGTGATTTAAACTCAACTCTCACTATTTGACGCTCTCTCACTCTCTACTTCCTACGTCTATTTTCTTCTTCCAAATCTTCTACCTCCCCTCGTGAACACCATCATCACTACTACCTAAGTGAAGGCTTCCTCCATGTCCGTCCGTCCCTCCCGATAACAACACGAGTCACACGTTCGGTGGCTTCTCACTTCAGTTTCTGCGCGTTTGGGAGGTAGTGGGGAGACTAAAAAACCACTTCCCCCAGGAGGAAGCTGGCTTTACAACCTACTCGTCAACAGGACGCTGCGGATGTAGCACTCGCTCCATCTGATCGTTACAAGCAATACCCGAGAGAATCCAACACTACAAGTTTCAAAAAAAAATATATAAAAACTAAAAAAAAAACAACAAAGAAAAATTACAAAATATGTAACAAATATCACAAAATACTTTTATACACGCGATACAATTCTGTGTGTATGTACATATGTGTGTATGTGTGTGCATATTTGAACTAGTTACACACTGATCAATCAAAATTTATTACTTATTTTTAGTCACACTCGAAGTACAAAACACTCACTCACACGACACTTGGACATCTCTTATGTTGATATCTATATATATGCCTACACTCAGTCACTCACTCCCTCGTTCAGTGTACACGGATTTATAAATCACCAAAAATGTTTGTTTCTGAACAGTGTAGCATATGTGGAGAGGGCTACAGCCTTAGCACAAGCAAACCAGAAAATACCGGCCACGAGTCCGAGAAGACCCCGGCCATTTCTAGTTCTGGGACGAGAACAGGTGATGTGACAAGACAGTTGTCCTACGGGCATAATAATAGGTCTTCTTTCTCAATTCCGAGGAGTTTTAATATCAGGAAACAGACTTGGTGGTCAACTTCACCAATGCTTTCATCAGGCTCATATCTACTACTATTTGTTTTTTTAATGTTATGTATGCAGTTCCATTGCCAAGGAACTGTCCAGGGTCTTTCTCTACCAGAGCCCAAGTCCCTACCAATGCATCGAATTTCTTCAAAAGATCCAGTTTCTTTGTACACAGAGCAGGACTCTACGAACATTAGCTACAAGCAACCTACTCGTAAAACTTCCAACGACTTATACATGGACCCATGCAAAGCAGGTAGGATTTAAAAAAAAAAAATTCTTTTCCTTCTTTCCCAACTATCACTAATTCTCACTCTCCAATCATCTAATTCCCCCGGTCCATTATTTTTTTTTTTTTTCTAAGTAGGGAATTATCTTAAATATAATGATATTCTCTCCTTTCGATGTTACTTAAATGAATACTATTAGTCATTGTACAAAACTTAGTGTAAAACCTTTCATTTACAGGGCCGTCCTCTTCAAATCTAAGGATCTTGTATACTTTATTACAGTGTATGTGCACGCGCACGCAAAGGATAAGAAAAGTCCTTTGTGTTGACGATTAGAAACCTGAAAAATAAAGAACTGAAAATTTGGTGTTTTTCCCCTTGAACTTTCCATTGGAGATCTTGAATAAGCTTTATTAAAAAAAGGTATTTATATTTATCAGAATTTTTAGGCCTATGGCTGACAACCGGAATCCCTCAACAAGATATCCCTGAAAGTTTACAAGCGTAACATAAAGAATAGTTTACGATTAGACTTTTTTTTTCCTTTAATATAAAACGAAGTCAAGAAACTGGAGTACAAACTTTTTGCAGGATATCACACACATACACACAAATAGGTGTGTGTGTGTGTGTCAAGGGGCTATAAATATACCGGATCTCCAAACTGTATATACAAAAAATAAACTATAGCAGTTGTTAAATCTACAAATGTAACAACCGAAAGTTTTAAAAGTAACGCATTAATAAATTAGGCTTATTATGCAGTTTCTTTATTTATTTTTTAAATTGTAACGTTGACATATTTTTCCTGGTGACTAGATTAAAGATCCATTTTAAAACTTATGCAGATATCTTCTGAACGGGTCTCGCAGCAACTTGTTGCGAAGAAAGATGCAGTTCTCGCCCCCCCTCCCCACGTGGCAACATGAAATTCTGACGTTCGACAATTGCAGTTGGTTGTCATGTCCCCCTTGTTTTTAGTGTTCCTGATTGGCATTTTTTAAAAATCTTAAAAGTAAACATGCCAAAATAATGTTAACTCTTACCAAGATGTTTCGTTATAAATTTCAGAAATCGCTCTTCCATTACTATACCAATAAGAAAAATATATCTTAATTTTTGTAAATAGAGAAAAATTTAACTTTAACATTGTTTTCAAATAAAATGCTGAATCTTGCTTTTACTTAGACTTCAATTTTTTTAATTTTATTTTGGAGATATAAAGTTTTAATTCGTATTTTTTTAAGCGTTGTTCTGTAAATCTACACTTTTTTAAATCCCAAACAAAAGACTTGGGGGGGGGAGCATATTTGTATATAGACTTTAGTAAATAACAGTTCCTCCTAGACCCATTCTCAACTATTTCATTTTAAATTGCACTAAAGTTGGTCAAATTTAACAATATTCTAGACAACGCAGAGCAAAATTAAAATGACAAATACCGACTATAACCACAACTAACATCAGTATTTCAACACCCACCAAGATTACAAGAATTCTCATTCATTTGTCTTTATTCAAACTTGGTAAGTTTCTAAAGTCTCATGTAAAAGAACAAAATCTACGATATAATGAAAGGAGGAGAGACTTACCCACCCTTACTTGCAGACAGACGGAGGGGGCGTGGGCATATTACCCGCTTATTTATGCGTTAAAAATTTCATTTTATATTTGACTTGGAAACTATTTAAAAAGGTTAGACATAAAACTTCACGCACACACTTTCATGTTCAATAACATGAAGTACTTTTTAATTCATGATATATATGAAAAATGTCATTGTAAATTGAGACGACTGAGAAGCATGTGATGGAATCACTTTTCACATGTTTAGTTTGGACATTTTATTTTTTTATTTTTTTTTTTAAAAAAAAAAAAGATTTACGTATGCTATAGAAACTAATTAAATGGTGAATCAGTTATCTTTTTAATATCATTTTTTTCTCGGTACCGTAGGTAAATAAAAGCACAAAATAACCAACCTAAAGTTAAAAACTAATAATTGCAAGCACAACTCGGTTTTGCCAACAATCAAACAAAATACTTGACCTATGTTATCCTTGTTTGACCAATCAATATAATTCAACTATTTTTTTCCTTCACTAGTGCTACTATTAAAATCGTTTCCTAAATATTAAGCTATATAGTTTGTTGACTAAGAATAAAGATTTGCTGATACAACTGAATTGTTAACTGTTATTATTCAAAATGTACGTAAATAAAATAAAAAATACATTTGTAGAACTCTTTAAAAAAAAAAGTTAAATATTTTAAGATTTCTTCAAATCCTTTCTTTGGAGAAATTATTTACTTAACTTTCTCTCTTTCTCTTTCTCTTTCTCTTTTTCTTTCTCTCTCTCTCTCTCTCTCGGAGTGGGTAAGATTTTATACGTTTGTCACTTTTCATATTTTCAGTTTTTTTTTTTTTATAAACGTTTCACACCAAGCAAGGCGGGAAGCCACTAGCACGCAAGGGGTTACAGAGAGTTGTAGCTAGAGCAAATAGGAGTGATAGAGGAAAGGATGGATAGGAGATAGATCAGGGCATCTGGAGATGTCGATTGACATTACATTTGAATAGTTGGAGATTATAGCTATCAGGGAAACAGGAAGAGGGGAGGGAGTTTCACAGGCGAGAGGTGCGAGACATGAAGATATTGGAGTAGAAGAGACGGCTACATTTAAGTTTCGATAGTGAAAAATTGTGAGCGAGATGCCAGCCTAGTAGAACGCTTAAATTCATGAAGCAGTTCCTCGTAGCAGTTACCATGAATTTATTTGTAAAAAAGACAGAGGGAGGCGACGGAACATCTGTGGGAGAGCGACTGCAGACAAGATGCCAGATCAGGGCCACATTGCATATCCGTCTCTGGATTTTATCAAGAACCCCGAGGCAAACAGTAGGGTCACCGGACCATATATGGCAGCAATACTCCATGCAAGGACGTATGGTTGATTTGTAGATTTGAAGGATCGATTCCGGCGAGAAAAACTTCCTGCCGCGACACAGGGAGCCAATTTTCCTTGCGGTGGAAACATGAGTTTCAGCACAAAACACACTCGCCCCTCACCAGCTCCTCGTAACTGGTGTTCTATTAGTGAGTTCAGTAGAAAATGCAAACTTTCGCTGTCTTCATTTTAAATTGTTCGACTAGTTTTCATTCTAGTTGACGGCCTCGAAACTCTAAAACGCTTGGTTAAATTTAACTCATACAAAGAAATTTGCGCCTATCTTTAGAAGCTGATACACAAATTACAAAAATATCAATGAATGATTTTGATTTTCATAAAAGGTTTGCAACTTTCGATAGCTGGTATACGGTTTCATTGATTCCTTAATTTCAATACCATAACTTTTCGATCAGTTTAACATTGATTTTTAGTTTCTCTAATCAAATGTTAGTTGAGCGAAGACAACAAATACTTTATCTCCTATCAAAAACTTCTTTAGAAACTTGATAGTAAACTAAATGGCGATGCTAGTTGATTTAAAATCTTCGAAAACTTCAAGTGTAAAAAGATGAAGAATTTGAAGTTCTTCAACATCGAATGATAAAATTCTTGAATCTATCCTACAAATATGTTTAAAATAAAATCAATTATTAACGATAATTTCGCAAACGGTTCTTATTTTCGTCTCAATTTGTGTATTTCTTCTGGAAACCAGTCTCCTACAGTGTTTTTAAGGAGGTTCTTTAAAGAACTACATAAACGGTTTGAAATTGATCTTCTTGAAGAAACCAAAAATTTAAGTTTACTCAAAAGAAGTCTCCATACATGCGATACAACCTAACAGGTGAAAGGCGTTTGATAAGTTATCAGTCATTTTAATCTTTTTATTCACACACACACACACACACACACACACATATATAATTGATTCGTATTCTACGGCTTATCAATACTTTTTCAGCTTATTTAAAGCCAGAAAATATTTTTTGATGGGAGGATAATTGTTCAGCGATACAAGATGGGGAAGAGGAGGTGGGTTCATACCTTTCCCAAGGGTATTTGTTTGTAAGTGAATATAACGAACCCAACAGGAATTGGAACTCGGCTCTCTGATTAACAATTCCTAGCCATTATCTATTATACCACTGCACATCCAAGCTTATAACACCTGGAATGCCCTAACGGTCACCCATCTAGGTACTGACCAAGCTCAATGTTGCTTAACTTCGGCGATCCTACGAAATGTGGTGTTTCAACGTGATGAGGCCGTAAACAGACTTGCTTGGGATGATAAATTAATAAAAAATATTAAAAAAAAAAAAAAGATATAGCTCCTACACTGGTAAATACGGCGTTACTGACTTACTGTATTTACTTAAATTCGTATTTAATTATATTTCTAGTATGCACTGTGCCGATATCAAAATATCAAGAATGTATTTTGGTAAATCATGACTGTGAAACACTTCGACTTCCATGATGATTCAAGCCGCTTTTCTATCATGAATGTACTAATATTTTGATTTGTATGACTTCAAGTGATCATCTACATAATTTAAACTTAACAAAATCTTCCGTCTCAACTCGAGGGAATTGTTTTCTCCTAATTGGGTCATGGGATATATATTAAAATATTGGACAAGCTATCTCCTCATACGTTCATCAGTTTTTCTCAGCTTATTCTTTATTCCTTCTTTGACAAGATTGCGTAATTTGCTCAATCCATTCCAAATCTTTGCGGTAAATCTATATTTAATCCATTAAAATCCTAAATTTCTGATGTGAAACTGCTTAAAGCTAAAAGACGCTCTAACAGACTGGACACATCCATTTGACTGAAAGGATTCCTCAAACCCATAGTTTCAAAAAAATTCTCGATAAAAAAAATGTCAGTCTTCCTCACATCATGCTTTTCAGTATAACAATTGTCTTTACTAAAATTCTGTGTGAATGTATTTAAATGCAATTTAACAGCTGAAACTTTCAACCAAAGGACCAAGAATTTGCAGGTTTTTCTTTACAAAACATGAGAATCGCTCAAGAAAATCTAAATGCTTTCAATATTGAAATAAAAATATTTATCCACGATTATTTTTTTAAACAATGGCAGTTAATCAGGATTCATATTTTTAAAAAAGACTTGGTTAAAACTGGAATGTTTATTTTATTCAAAGACCCTAATATCTTAGTTACAGTTTTACTGTTCAATTTACGCGGTTACGCAATTTAAACAAGATATTACCTCGGTTATCTATTAACCTTTTAAACAAACAAGTTAGAGGATATTTATACAAAAACTTTTCAAGTATCTGTAAAGAGGCTTCAGACTTTGATTCACATGAATCTGAAAAATTGCATAACTGATGGCTTGGTTATTCTATTTTGGAACCAAACTATTTTCTTTATTTCTTAACACTCTTTATTTTATGTTTTAGACAATCTCTGAGCTCGCAATTCTGTAAAATCATCTGTAATTCTGTGAACAACGTTTTCAGATGAAAGGAATCGTACATATGTTGCCAAAAATGAATGTATTAAACATTTAAACCAGCACTAAAATGAAATAATTTTAGCACTTAGTCTTTTGTACTGAATACACACAAAGTAATTTGAAAAAAAAATTGATAGTCTTCATGAGCCGTATAGATTGTGTGTTTGAACATAATGAACACTGCGTGGTGACTATCAGTTTCATGCCATAAGCGATATTCAGACCATCTGATGGTCTGAAGAACATTTTAAAACATGAAACTGAGTCACTATGTAGTGTTGATTTGTGTCCACATTGTTTATTTATATATATATATAATGTGTGTGTGTGTGTTCTATACTCGATATTGCGCATTCTCATGAATGTATCAAATTTTAAACAATATTATAATTCCTTGGTGAGAATAGCCATCCAATCCAGTTGTTTCTCAAGTTAATACAAAACTTTTCATTTGGACTGTTTGCGTTTTTCTGGTTGGCATGAAAAATTATTCAGCAATGTAAACCTAAAGAATGTCGAAGATCTCGGCAGAAATGTTATGTTTACAATGAAGTGGTGCAAGGATAAAATTTATAGAACTTTTTTGTTTTGCAAATGACTTTGTGTGTAAAAACACAATTTCACAAGAATGACAATTACTGTATCCATATGTTCTTATGGATCTGCATGTTCATATCCATAGTCCCCATCTCTTTTGGGTTCAACATTATCTCCTTATGACCTAACCATTCATTTACCAATTACTACAGGTACTTTCATCTTATATCCGACATGTTAATAATTAGTTTGAAGCTTACAAAAACAGTTTCATTTACAAGTGGGTAAAGAACATCATTGAAACTGAAGTGTTCTGTTTTCGATGACTGATTGGCATTTATGACCACTGAAAACAAATTCTCAAAACATTAACATCTGATTCGATTGCATAAGTTTCTGAAAATTTTAATGAACTTAAGGTGTTCACTCATTAGATTTTTATTATAATTAAAAAATATATACAGATAACATCCCATGATGCTATACTCCTCATATGGATATACCAATAATTTTGACAATTATTAGACTGTTATAAGTGGTGAGGACCCTTAACTCCAACAAACTTGCATAATAAGTAATGAAGTATCCTATCAGAATTATGCTTACAATACCAATATGATCTTAAGAAATAAATCTCGCCAGTTGACTTCCAAGTAGACGTATTACAAACGGAAAGAACATGGCTACATATTACGAACTATTTTATTTTTTTTCTCCAAAGAAAAAACGAACACCTCTTTCAAACCGAAACCCTTATTCAATCCACAACTGGAAGTTTTCGCATTCTGCTGTCCATGCTTGAGGAAATCAGTTTCTTAGTTAATTCGCGAACGGTTACCAATTACGACATAGCTAAAGAAGGCCGAACGTACAACAGTCGAAATAATGTTACTAACAGCGAACATACGGCTACTTGTGATTTTAGTTGCATAATTTTTGCTTTTTCTAAAATTTGAAAATTTTAAAAAACTTGATTCCCTGTCATATATATATATATATATATATATATATATATGTGTGTGTCAATGATATTAATGATAATTTTTAATGTTTGAGAGCTGATAAAGCATTTAATTAGGCAATGAGTGGTATGTCTTGGTTGGTCACAAGAAGTTAATTCCTCAAATATATATTTAATGTCCCATAGTGGCATGTGACACCTGAATCTCAGTTTATCATAAACAATCGTTCCTGGTATTTAGAAGAAATATATGAAAATATTTCGAAACTATTTCCAATTGTCTGATATAAAATAAACATAAAATGAGACTACTGTTTTTACTATAATTTTCTACATTACCAGAAATGATAACGAATTGAAACTATAATCAAACTTCTGTGCTCGAACTGTTTGACGTTTGTTCCTTTTTTCGTCGTCTACGAAAATTGCTTGTTCAACATCAATAAACTTTTAAATCTGTTTAAGTTTTTTTTTCATTCGATCTCTAATTGTAAAAACTGGTGACTAAATCTGAACAGATGTTTTAATGTAAATGAACTTCAAAAGATATAAATATAGATATATCAATAAGGGATCCTAATACAATATACCACTTTGTTTTCTTCAGTTGATCAATTAAAATAACGTTCAATCTTGATTAGAAAATAAGAGAAAGGTAATATTATTTCTCTCCCTTCTATTTTTTTTATTTTATTTTTGATGTTATAGCCATTTGTTTCTTGCTGTGAGTGTTTGCCCTATATTGTTACAGCCTGTAAAACAATTGCGTCTATAAGCATATAATAGTTTCTCCTGTTACAAATTCACATACAGGTTTCCTGACTCCGTTTCTCATTATCTCACAGCACAGGGTCAGCTTTCGAATGTTAACTTTTTATTTTTTTTCTTAAGACATGCCCTCTCTGTACATGGTCATTTTCCCATTTAACCAGGTACCTGACTAAATATTAATCAGGTGCCATGTACCTGACTTAACTTAACCTAGTAATTATCAATATACCATTGAACAGCCTTTTGAATTTTATTTTAGTATAAATTCTCAAAGTTTAGTGTCGTTTTCTGAAACGGCACAAAAGTTGTTCAATCACATCCGCAGTACAATGTTCTCTCTTAGGATCTTTTCTATTAATCCACCCCAAATAATGTAAACTTACTTATTGCAAATATTAATTCACTCCAAAAAATTATAAATTTTAATTAAGTTTGCTTTTTTTTTTTTGCTTTTTTTAATTAAATCTTTGAGTTTTGAAACTATAAATGTTAAATCAAAATTAGTTTAGTTTGCCTCACAACAACAACAACCATCAGAATTAAAAATTACTAAAAATAAGGGAGTTATTCACATTTTGTAAGTGCGGATGATATTCGAGGTACTTAAAGGAATATTGAAATTTAAAAAAAAAATATCCTTTTTGGCTTGTTTATCAGGTTGATCGCGAACGCTGACCCCACACGTAGAAATAGCGCACCCGAGTTACCCACATTTGGGGCGATGACAAAGATCAACCCAACCGAAGCGCAATGGCAAGGCCTCACTCTGGGAGAATTTGGTGTGATTTTAGTAAATATAAATTCTTTTTATTTTGGGGTGAATTAACAAAAAAAAAAGATCCCTCTCTTATAGTATTTTTATAGACTATATAAAGTACGTAAGTACCAATGTATCTGAAAAAAATTCAATTATTCCAATATAACAATTAAAAATTCATAAAAATAAACAGTGAAAGAGGCTCGAACTATTACTTCATAAACGCCAACAATTCCTGCATTACAGATCATCTAGTTTAGACATTAAGAAAACTAAAACAAGCAAATTAAGAGATTGTCTGACTATTGATTTCCGAAAGTCTCTTATATCAAAATGGTTTGAACGAACTGCGATTATGAAAATGTTAGAAATGCTTAATGTTATGTTTCATGTGTACTGATCTGTTTGATAATAATTACGATAACCTAGTATAATCGATAGTTTATTAATTTAATGAAAGTATCATTGATATATTCAATGCGTAAAAAACAAAAATTCTACTGAACATAAAAGTAACAAACTTAATCTTTACTGCCAACTTATTTGAACACTTAAGGCAAACACTTACTCAATACGGGTCTTCGATTTTAATCGCATCCAAATTTGAATTCGGTTACGTCATACAAAACAAGCGACAATCAATCTAACCGAAATCATGTTTTCGCTGGTTTCAGTGTAAGACCCGGTCTTTTCTGTCATATCACGTTCAGTTAATCCCAAAAAGACATTTTTTCCAACGGTACTCACAATTTAA